AGAATAGTGAAGTAATTTTCGGTAATCTCTTATCTAAAATGAATTCGTTCAAGTCTTATGTTTAATAGTAAGCAAGAATTAAGTACACGTCATAAAAGTACCATCAATGTCATGGATACAATGAGGCAATTGAAACAACGATCATCGAGGACAATATGAAGTTGTTTGAACAGATCAATTTGGCATAATGGTATTAACCAGAACACGCTCTTAATTAAACAAACGATTAAGCATTTCAATTGGTGATTTTGTGACATTGAAAGGACAGAGTTTCTGTGGCCTGCGTCATTACTTTTATTAATGTAATAATACCATGAACTCTAGATTAGTGGTCAAATATAAGAAACTAGACCAGAATACCCCCTTAAAGACAAAGGCAGATGGGTCATTTGAGTCAAGTATACATAAGTGACAACACCTCAAGATTTCGAAAAGACATGTACGTTTCCTCTTTTAAGTCTCCGACATGAATACTTTTACACCTCTCTCTCTCCCTCCCCTCAATGTGAAACATCCAAATTCTCAAGACCTTGTGGAAACACACATTCGAATTATGAATAAATTTTGGATTTTATTATACCATTGCACATTGACTTGACGCCAATAGTTAGTATTGAAAGTGGGAAATTCGAAGGTGTCTTAGAGTAGCGAAGAAGCCCCATTAGCCCTTATCGATAGGTACCAATAACCTGCAACGATAACAGGGAGAATGACTCCACAAAATTAAAAGAGTATTTTCATTTTGTAAGTTCCATTTAACTCCACCCATCTCCCACAATTCTGGCTCTTGAGTAGGTGAAACGAATCCAACTTAGTGGACAATTGCATTAGCTGCCACAATTTGATTCCTCACCCTCTCACCACACAATCCCCCCCCACACAAAGTTCATTTCCCAACCTCAGATTGAATGGCTTCAACTGCTGCTGCTTCCAGATGCTTGATTACTTTCAGGGAGAGTGACTGTTTTGGCTTGCCATTCACAGTTTGAGTATGCGGAATACATAAGATGAGGCTGCACCCTGATTAGTCTGTTGAGAATAGGCAGTATTGCAATCTAGGTGCAAAAAGACTACTGGTGCTTATAGCCTTCACAGGCTGTGCCACTTTCCATTATCTACTCCCAAGGTACGACGAGTAAATGCGTGTTACACGTTATCGGGTTGTTCGTCATCGTATGCCTGCATGTCTGCTCGCCAGGATTGGGAGGTGCGGCCGTACAACTCTGTGTGCAGCGACCGTACAAACAGTGACCGACCATCAACCTCTGTTTAACCTAATCCCCCATCCTGATCATGAGTAGCTCCATTTGACTCACTGCAACACTTATTTAATTTATGTGTTGCCATCTAATCGCATTTTCACCTCAAGTAACCGCTAAATGAAATAGTATCATTGCTCTGTTTCGAAACATTTGGGTATGATGTATCACAAATCTTCAGTTTGAACTGAAGTTTTCTAACTACGGAATGATGTAGTGATTAATCCAGTGAATAGCTGATGTAATAGAGAGGATAGTCGGACCGTTTTCAAATAGGAAAAGATATGTTAGTCAATTTCATTGCAAGCTATATCAGGTGTCGCCTGTTTATGATTGCTCACCATCTCGGAGAGATGTTTTGAAAATTCAATCGATTAATGGTCATTTAGGTTTTCAGTTCTCAGAACTGATAAGTAATTTAATTAAATTCGTGAGATCATTCTCAGTGATTTTATCTACAATTAAGACAAATCTGTCACGAAGCGCGTTGTCCTCAACATCATCAGTTGGAGTTGAGACAACGTAAGGACCACTAACATTCCTAACTGCTTTGTTTTCTTGAAAGCACTTAGGCGCGCCCCTTGTCCGCGATTCGCTGTTATCAATTCCACGAATTCCTCCAACTTCACCAACTCAGAACCTTGACTGGAAATTCAAGTGGAGCCAACACTGGGGGTGTTTCGGTGCCCATCACCTCCGCTTCCACTCTCTTGATCTGTTGTCAAAGACGGAGACTCAACACCAGGATTGTTTCCATCGACACTGGTCACACATACGACCGACTCGGGTTGATCGGCATTTCCATTAGCTGAAGGGCGTTCTAGGTCTGTTGTTGATTCTGACTCGTTTCTTGATGCACTGTTATTGTCATATAGTGGTGGCATGTTGAATTGATAACTCTTACCCCTACCTTACAGCTCTCGCACATTCAAAGATCCAAACATGTTGAGTGGCCAATAGCAAAACACACCAGTCAGTCTTCGAGGTGTGAGTTCAGTGGACGCAATCTACACATGCATATTGTTTGAGTAGTACTGATGAATGTCGAACGCGACAATGTGAAAAGTGGGAGTGACCCCTTTTCACATGGCAGTATTAATAACCCACTGCCCCAGATGAAAGTAAGTTAAGACTTACGATTCGCTGTCTTTAATGACTTACTGATCTTAACCATTTCCCACTATTTCGTGCCTCGTTTGACTAGTTATGTAATTCCTTCAATCAATTGCTTCACCGTAATTGCAATTGTTTAAAACTGTTCAAATTGTATGATTTAATAAGCACACTTCGTTGATCTCTGTATTCCAACTCAAGTTAACCCCATTTAATTATATCAGATATAATTAATTAATAACATGCTTAAAATGCATTGGCAAAGCATTGAAAGACGGTCGAAATTTCCTTGATTGAAAACCATGCTGTTGTCATTCAAACAAGAAATTGGAATTCTCCGATCCTTCATGTCGAGTTGTTGGTCATCCAATGACCCCAGATCTACCAGACATGCACGCTCGTTTCCTTCTTTCACTGAAAGTGCACCAATGTGACTGCACTTTTTCGCTCTTAAATCTTTCACTCGACACAGCCAAGCTATTCCAACTATGGCTATTCGAGAAAGGTGTGTTCTTTGATCAATGCAACTTGATATTAAGAAAATGTCTCCGTTGTCACAGCAAAGGCAGTGTAACCAAGTCGTGAAATTTCAACACTTTGGCATTACGCCATCTGAGCGAATTGATGAGCTCTGACAAAATGAACACGTACATTAGGTCGATTCGAACGTGCTTCAATGAGAGAGTACTTATTAAAACAAGGAAGAGGAATATAATGAGGGAGTTGTTGGGGAGGGGGGATGCGGAGGAAGTTGTGTTTGAAAATACGAGATTTGTGTCGATACTTTTAGAAGATACGAATTCTGAAATCGAAACTGATTAACTCAATACCTTTCTTAATCACGGTGTCAGTTGAAAGAGATTTACCATACAGAAATTAGCGCGAGTAAGCAGAGTGCTTTGATTGGTTGATTTGATTCCAACGATCCGTTGTCGCCATTGGTTGTTTAGTGAGAGAGTGTGTCGTTTCTCTCTATAAAAGGTCGTGAATTCAAGAGTTTCTCATTGTCATTCTCAACTTCATCAGTGTACTCGGTGAGACTGCTATTTCATTATCTAATGTGACACTTTATCTCGTTCGCTTCTTTACTCTATGGATTATCTCTCTTTATATTTAGAGTTTCTCGTTTTTGTTTTTAAAATAACATTACATTTCACTTTGAATTTTAGAATGGTGGCAAACAGTACGTCAAGTAATTCAGAAAGAGGGAAGGACTCGGGACGTCCTGTTGAAAATGGAAAGGCTGATCAACCCGAATCAGCACTTCGTAAACAACCGCTCCCAACTGTTGAATTGCCTGAGGTCAAAAAAACGGAACAACGAGGCAAAACACGTAAGTAAACGATGTTAACGTATGATTGCGAATCATCTTTCACCTCAATGTGGTTTGGAAGTTTTCCTTTGAGGTTATAACAGTAGGTAAACGATGCCCATGGTTTAAATTAAGCAAGTAACTGGATTATAGGCACAAGACCTAGGACACACATAAACGCACTTAATTTGTTGCCAATTAGAAATTTATACCACTTTCTGATTTATGACAGGGACTTCGCGGCTTATTGACGTTGCAATCATTCACAAGCACCTTGGAATACAGGTTGATTGCAAGAAGAAGAATGACCAACGTGTTGATGCAACTGGCAACACGAGGATGGCTGAAAAACGCCTGCCGCTACCAAGTAGTGAGTTTGTCATTAAAATTGTGTTTGCCCCACTCATAATATTTCTTAAGATGATTAACACTTTCACTCTTTTTAGAGAAAAATCCGATTGAGGCACCCAACGGTACCTCGGAAATGGTTTCCAACGAAACCAATAATAGTGATCATGACAAAAGAGTTCCTAATGGAGAAGGTGAATTGCAGAGGAAAAGTGGGAACTCAAAAAAATCACTGGAACATGAAAGTGGGCAGAAAATTCGGGATGAGAAGCATTCTGGTCACAAACCTGAAGCACAACCCTCGCCGGATTCAAATATTGTTATTATGAGTTCTGGCAGGTTTATTGTCATCTCTTCCGAGCCTAAGGTGGCCGTCTTCCCTCCTGGAAGTCAAATTCATCTTGGCGATCTAAGACATCACTCTTTCCATACCTCTGGTTATAATATGTCCAATGATCCCATGGTGATACCACTTCATTATTCGGCATTCGTTTCCAATCAAACCACAGCCGAAAACAAACTTGCCCCTGAAAACACAGGACTTGAAGGTACGTGTTGTTTCAGATTCCAAAGCTTCCAAATTTTGCTGTGTCAGTCATAATTTCATGATTCAATTTCATTTCAGGGCAGCTTCCAGGAGATAGACTAGAAGGTGTAGGGAATAGTGGGTTGGCTAATGAAGATCTATCAACCCACACGTTCCCTCGTGGTTCGATTTTCACTG